CAGCGCAATCTGCTTTCGAAAACGGAGGAAGCTGGCCCCGGCTCGCCACCCACCTCCACACCCCTAGGGGCGGACCCCCGTGTTTTTTAACCCGTAACCGATCTCACCCAAAGAAACGAGTGCGCCCAGGGCGGGTGATGGAACGGCACCAAGAGCGATCAGAAAGTTGTGTGTGGGTCCATTTGATTTGAAACTCTGGGGGCGGGGGTGGGGGAGCTGGGTTCTCATTCAAATGCAGTGGGCGGGGGAGGGGGAGTAAATGCAGTAGCTGGAACCCCAGGCAGGCGGGGGCTCCTTGGAATGACAATGAGGCCCGCCCTGGTGGGGCGCATCCACGCAGGCCTAACGAGATCAGATTTTCATAAATTTCAGACGGTGCCGATTCCTAATTCCTCGGCGTGCGGCCGGGAGGCCAGACAGGGCAGCCTGCGCCGGCTGCTTGTTAACCGGGAGGCATTGCCGCCTGCCCTGCCACCGCCGAGCAGACACTGTGGGGTGGGGTGAGGGGTCGTCTGGTCCAGAAACTTGCTGCGTGCTGGCAGAGCTGGGTGAACTCTGACCCAGGTCCCCGCGGCCCCCGCTGGGAATCGCTCACGGGGACCTCGGAGGCCACTGCCCCCCAGGCCGGGGCTTTGGGCACATTAGCAAACTCCACCAGCCAGCTCCCCGTTCGCAGGTGCGACTCCTGCACTTGATTTGGTGGCGGCTCGTTACCAAGAGCAGGGTTGGGGGCGGCATGAGCCTGGACTCAGAAGAAGCCCATCCCTCCCGTCGCTGACCTGACCCAGAGCCAGGGGCTCCGGTGGCAGCACCTGCACTGTGGTCGCCGGTGGAAACCGCAGGCCTCATGCCCCGTGGAAACCTGCCAGGTCGTGTTTAATGCGGTCGGATCCCCGGGTCTCGAATGTAATCCGGTGTGTTCTTCCCATATCACAAAGCTGGTGGAGCTTCTTGTAACTCTTGAAATAATCAGTTCCTTTTTCAGCCACAATTTTAATTTTCAAGACCATGTTCTGAGAGCCAATCCCGGCTTCCCGTGGGTTCTGGACGGCTCCCTGACTTGGCTCCTGGCCCTGTGGGGGCCCATGCTGCACCCCAGGGTGGGCGTGGGAACTAGCAGGGGGACTCCTGCCCTGGGGGGGTGCTTGGCCACAGGTGGTGGCAGGGGAGTGTCCAGCTGTGTGCGAGTTTGCACCGTGCCCTGGGCGGTGCCCGCAGCTCCCCCGAGGGTCTGGCCGGAGGTTCCTTTGTCTCTGTCCTGTGATTTTCCTCTGTGTCGGCCAGAGAGACGAGAACCACTGGCCTCAGGTGCTGAGGGGCCAGTTTCACTGGGGGGCCCCCTGTGGTGGGCGATGCTCCCGCCTGGCCACCGCACCCTGAACACGAGCCCTTTGCCGGGACCCACGCTGTTTTGGACCTTCTGGAGCCCTGGTACGAAGGACCGCAGGGTGTGGCGCGGTACCCCCTGGGCTCCGTGGCCTTCAGCCAATCCCCTCGCCTCTCTCAGCCTCAGTTTCCTCACCTGTAAAGGGGCTGAGAGGTCACGTTCATGTCTGTGTCTCGGAATGACAGTTGGGATTTGATGTTTGTAGGATTTGGGCCGTGCCCAGTACGTGGGGGATCAGGGGTGTGTGTGTGTACGTCTCACGTCTCAAAGTGACCGCGGCTGTGTCAGCAAGAGTTGGGCCGCTCTGATGAGGGGGAGGCACCTGTTGGCTTGAAATTATTCACAGAGAAAGAGGACGCTAAGTTACATTAGAGTGACGTGCTTTGCACGTGGGAGATGGCCTTCGTCCCCCCCAGAACCTGCTGCATCTGTCACCCACCCCAAGGGGGACAATCACCAAGGACGGTGACAGAGCTGCTTTCCCGCCCTCCCCATGGCCAGCACACTTGACCCCAGAACAAAATGAGAGAAAAGGGATTTTCTTTCCCAAAGGCTCTGTTCTCATAACTGCGTCCCCAGAGAAGAGATCCGTGGTCGTAAGTCCCTGGTGGCCTCGGATTCAGCTGCCACCCCAGTGACCCTTTTGAATGACCGTGCCCCAAGCCCCCAGCCCAGGGACAGAGCCAGCAGGTCACACCCAGCCTGTCCAGGGCATCAGGTGGGAAGAGGGGTGCCATTCGTCCCCACAGGGACATCGAGAACTGTGACAACAGTGACGATGGAGCACCCGCTGCTTCCTGTCCTGTCCCAAGCTCTTTATGGGTTGTGCTGGGCGCTCACAAAGGTGCAGGTGCCCAGGGCCACACACCTTGTTGGCAGGTGCGGGGGGCGGGACCAGGAGTCCTCAGAGGTGCTGGGGGTGTGGGGAAGGGAAACTAACTCATACTTGGGGGGGGGCGGGGAAAAGTTGCAGGACAGGGCCCTTTGCCGTCGTAGCTGTCTCAGGGAGGTGCATGGGCCCGGCCCCGCTTTTCTGGATGTGACCTAAGGCAGCTGCTTCCCAAGCCTAGTTTGCTGGTCTGCAAATTGGGGGGGGGGGTGACAGCGCCCGCTTCATGGCTCTGGTGAAGAGAATGCAAAGCTGGACCAGTGCTTCGGTTGTGAGTCCTGTGGCCATCAGTCCTCTGGGGACTAAGGCTGGGGGAGGGGGCCGGTGGTAGGAACCACCTCTGCTTGTACCGTACAGGACACTTGGCTTCATGTCCCGGTGCAGGGGAGGCCTGTCAGATTGGGGAAACTGAGGCAGGGTCCGCCTCTGCCATCAGCAGCTGAGTGACCTGGGACTCCTCTCTTGGCCAGAAGTCCGGAAGCCTCCCACCCAGTGCTTTAAAACTCTCAAAACGTGTTGCCGGTTTAGAGGTCAGGCAGCTTCACAGCCAGCCTCTAGAGTCCAGAGAGGCGGGGAGGCGTGGCCCCTTGGGGCAGCCTGCCTGCGGCGCCGCCCTTTCAGCCTGCTGGGCTTTCTACCAGCAGTGCCTGGGTGGGGCGGAGTGCGGACTGGGGACCCTGGTGGGCACAGCAGCACTGCCAGGAGCGCTGTGCTCATTTCTGGGGGTGATTCCTCGCTCTGGACACTGGGTCCCAGAAACCAGACCCTCCTGCCTTCTGGGCCCTGCTCAGCTGGTCTGTGTAGATGTGGGAGGTTCCTTCCCAGCTACTCGGTCGGCTGGTGCCTCTTCCGTGGCCCCTGGCGGCCCCCACAGCCTCTCACCTTCAGCCATAGCCACCATCTGGACTCAGCACCAAGAAAAGAGCACAGCCTGGCATGGGCCCTGCAGGCCACTGGGACGGGGACAGAGGCACCCCACAGCCCTTTCTCCTTCCCCCCAGGCTCAGCACCAGCAGGGCCCCAGAGGCAGCAGGGGAGGTGCTCCGGGTGCCCACCACCGGGTCCGGCTGGGGTGAAGAGTGCGCCGGGCTGGGGGAGGGGGTTGCCGTCCCCTCTGCGGCGGGAAGCCGTGGGTTTTGCACAAAGCAGGCCTGTGTGTCTCCTGAATGGGTGGCTTTATCCCGGGTCCTCACGGGCAGGACCTGGGCCCTGTGGCATCACTCCAGGCTGCCGGGCCCTGGACCAGTCTGCCTGGGGAGGAGGAGGTGTGGCCGCCATTACTGAGGTGAGGCCAGAGGCCTGGGCTTTGCCTAACCCAGGCCACCCTCCCAGCAGGAAAGTGACGGCGTCTTGTGGGCGGTGGAGACTTGCCGAGTTCCTGCCGGGCAGGGCCCCGCCTTCTCGGAGCTCAGTGTGTCACCAGAGTCCCCGGCCAGTTCCTCTTCCCTCCTGGACACTCCCGAGCAAAATGGAGACACGGTCCCACCCATGGGCCAGACCCATGGCCCAGGGATCCAGACCAAGTTCTGGGACCAGCGAATGGCCAGGTGGGAGAGGCCACCAGCTTCGGGCCCGTGGGCTTCATCCCTGAGTTGGTCACTTGCCCTGTGGACGGGATGACAAGTGTAGCCCAGACATACGCTCAGACCCGCACAGGGACACTCAGCTGCGCCACTGTTGACCAGACCATTCTTCACGCTGGGACATTCTGTGTACATAGGAGGCCCTTGCCTGCGTGATGCCAGGAACGCCCCTGGTTGTGACAGCCACTCAAGTCCCCAGATATTGCCACATGTCCCCTGAGGGGCAGACTTGCCTGACCTACTAATGGTGCCAAGTAAACTTGGCACAGTGGGGCAGACGTATAATGTGTCATGAGAAGGGAGGTGTCCTGGAGAGCCAGGGAGGGACGGACGAAGGGGTCAGGGCCCCCAGAGCACGTGGATCCTGTATGGAGAAGCTTCCATGGCTGTACCGCCAGAACGGTGGTCGCCCAGGAGGCGCTGCTTTCCCGAGGGAAGCCCTGGGGAAACTGAGGCCAGAGGTGGGAGGGACCAGCCTTGCAGCTTTTGGAGTTTGCGGGTGCACAGCAGGGGAAGGCAGAGCCCTGACACGGCCACACCTCACCTGCAGCTGGTCCTCCACCCTCCGGCTCCATTTTTCTCGGAGGGGGAGAACCTGAGTTGAAGGGCTTTGACCTTGAGCCTGAGCCCTGGGGGCCCTCAGCTAGTAGCTCATCGGTGCCTGGTGGCACCAGGGTGGCCCCCTGCCCCCTGCCCCATCTGGGTCCGGGAGGCTCTTTCCCTTGCTTGCTGAGAAGGGAGCTCTGCCCCTCGGACTGTCGGCGGGGCTTTGGGCTGGGAGGGGCCGGCACCCGCTGCAGGGCAGGGTGGGGGTGGCGGTGGCGGGCCCAGTCAGCAGAAAGGTCCCCGGCTCCAGCAGGATCAAAATCCTCTTCCTCTTGAGAGTTTTTCCGCTTTGGGGGAGACAAACCAAACCAAACCAGAAACAAGGAATGAGAATCGCAGCACCTGCAACCCCCAGGACCAGGGCTTTTCTGAGCCTCCTCACCAGAGGGGCCGTGTGTGTGGTGTGACCGTGTCTGTGTTATCTGCGTGTGTGTCGGGGCGTGAAGTGAGGTGTCAGGTGTGTATGGGCTGGGAGACCCCTGAGCCCCGGGTCCGCCAGCTCCCCGAGGTCTCACGTGTGCCCTTGGCCTTGCAGCGGAGCTGGAGTTCGTTGAGATCACCATCATCGTGGTGGTGGTGATGGTGATGGTGGTGGTGATCACGTGCCTGCTGAGCCACTACAAGCTGTCCGCACGCTCCTTCATCGGCCGGCACAGCCAGGGCCGGAGGAGAGAAGACGCCCTGTCTTCAGTAAGTGCCCCGCCCTTACCTTGGGACGCTGCTGGGGTGTGCCCAGGACCTGGAGGGACACGGCACTGGGTCCAGACAGAGGCCCGACGGGACCAGGTCGTGGGAGAGGTGCCTAGTCCTGCAGAGGTGACCCAGACTTGGGCGTGGGGGCGGAGGTCTTTCCCTTGAGCCAACGCCCTGCATGCTCTGCGCCAGGGATTCAGGCCTTGGAGGCAGCAGGTCACAGGGGGAAAGGCCCCTCCTGGGGCCGAGTTTAATCCCAGCTCCACCTGTCCTGGCCCTGTGCCCTGTCAGACCTACTAATGGTGCCCAGAGTCCCCGGCCAGTTCCTCTTCTGGAGGGCCAGTCCCTGACCCGTGATGTGGGGCATCAGTCCCCACTTAGTGCATAAAAGCCTGGAACAGAAGCTCAGGTCCCACGGGTGAGCTGGGGTTGGGGAGACGGTGGCAGGTGGGTGGCCCAGGGCCGTGGGCCCACGCGCATCTCAGCCTGTGGGAGACAGTGACAGGCCCGGAGGCAGTGCCGGGTGTGGCGTCCCCGGGAACGGGGACGCGTGGTTGACGGCAGTGCTCGGTCCCTGGGGCTGAGCCAAGTCAGCGGGCCGCAGGCCTGTCCCGGCAGGTTCGGGATCTCTGCTTGTCATCAGGTTGCCAGGGCCTGGAGTGGCTGTTCTGGTGCCTCCGGCGGGAACACCGGGTGCCCCACCTGAGACCCAGCGTGTGTCCTGAGGGCGCAGCTGCTCTGGAGGAACCTGTGCGTCCACGGCCGGGGCTCCCCCTTGGGTTCCGTTGCCCCTGCGCTCATTCATTCATGGGCCCCCGCCCTCTGCGGCAGCGCAGGAACCCGGTTCACAGAGGAGAAACGGGCTCAGAGCGGTGGGAATAGTTGCCTGAGGCCACCCAGCTTTTAAGTGACAGTTTGGAGAGCCCACACCCCCGTTTTGCCCTCCCCTGGTGCTGGGGCCAGTGAGGGCACTTTGCCCAAAGGGGAAGATGGCAGCCCTATAACATGGGCTCCAGGGTGGGCCCCCTTCCCCTCTGAGCCTCCTGTGAACGTCTGGAGAATGGGTGGAGCTGGCCCGTCTCCTGCCACCCCCCACAGTCCATTGTATGGTACTGGGAGGGTGAAGTCAGTTGGGGGGGGCGGCAGCAGGGGTGGGGGAGGCGCAGCAGAGGCTCCCACGGGCCATGACCCTGCTTCCAGGGAGCTGGCGGGCTCGGTGCACAGCATCTGGGACTTCGTGCCCAGGTGGGGGCTAGAGTTCAGGTCCCGGTTCCAGGATACTTGGGGCTAAAAGAAAGCCACCTCCACACCCACCCAGACACCTGCGCAGGCCCCTGGGGATGCCTGACTGGTTATGCACAGAGCCTTGTAAGTGTGGCTGCTCCCCTGGGGACCCCCTGCCAGACAAGGCGCATCTGAGGAGTCTCGGAGCCCCGAGACCTCCCAGAGAGACCCAAACCTGGCCGCTGTGGGCCAGGGGCTGGGCTCACCCCTGGCCTGGCTGTCCTGCCGTGGCCCCTTATCGGGGTGACTTCCTGGGTGTGTGTTTCCTCACTGGCACACAGCCAAGCCCATTCCTGTGGTCTCGTCTGTGGTGGCTGCATTCACCCTCAGCCGCAGCCTTGGTCGCGATGCAACCTGCTGTCTGTCCCACAGAGACGCCATGTTACTCTCTGGCCCTCAAAGGAAACAGTTTTTGGACCGCTGGCCTAGACGGGGAAGCCGTGGCTGGCTGGAGTTGCTCGGTGCAAGGAAGCTCTTGGAATGAAAAGGAGCCAGGTGGAGCCTGAAGTGTCAGGGAGAGGCGGGGGCAAGAGGGGGAGCTGTCAGGAGCAACCCTGGGGGTCTGGCATTTGTACCCGGGAGGATGTCAGGGCCACTTGCTGAGCTGGGAACCAAAGTGTCTTAAGACCTGGCTTCCAGGCAGGCGGGTTCTAACCGAACGCAGCAGTGCAGCTAGCTGGACAGTGAGTCTGACGGTGAGTTTCGTAGAGCAGGGCCCAGCCTGGCTGATGGAGGAGCGGGATGCTGCAGGAGCCTGTGGAGGAGTGTCTGGGCCGGTGGCTGGTTCCTGGTGGGTGGATCCTGGAAGTCTCCCTGGAGAAGGTGACCTCCAGGTGCTCGGGTTGGAGGTGGTGGGTTCTGGGGTCTATGGTGGGCCCCCCCAGGCAGTGTTTTCTTTGCTTTTTTAAATTAATTATTTATCTTCTTCCTTCTCACCTGAGGATATATATATATCCAGAGAGGGAGGAAGAGAAACATCAGTTGCCTCCCTCATGTACCCTGACTTGGAATCGAACCCTCCACCTTTCAGTTTACGGGGCGATGCTCCAACCCAGTGAGCCACACTGGCCAGGGCCGGATGGGTGTTTTCTTAATCTCCTTGGGTGGTACTACTTTGTAACTGAGTGGAAAACCCTTGGGAGAATGGAGATGGTGCTTAAAAGAGCTTATCACAGCCTGATACCAGGGCAGCAGTTGACACGTCATTATTAGTATTAGTGACAAAATGGTCACTGACGACCATATTAACAGTAACAATGTACGTCTGCTCTCTGCATCCCCACACCTGGAACAAGCTAGACCCCAGCGCGGCCCTGCTGGGATCGTTTTGAGAGGCACAGGACCCCCTAGTGGCCATGTCGGGAACTGCAGCCCTCCAGGCAGTTCCTCCCTGAACTGCAGGTGGGAATCCTCAACTCCCGAGGAAATTAATGGGATGATGGATGTGTTTGTTATTTTGATTGTGGTAATGGATTCCTGGCACGTACGTATGCCAGAACTTAACCACGCTGTATACTGAGTGTGTGCAGTTTGTTATATGTCAGGTAAACCTCAATAAAGCTGATGTTAATTTTTGAAAGAAGACATCCTGCCCTCCAGGTCCAGTGTCCGGGTTTTCCCTTCAGACAAACCGATTCTGGCGCAGGGTCCCACTTTCCTGACCCCCAGGTCTCTCCCCGTGACGTGGGAATCCCAGTAGACAGGGAGGGGTCTGGTGTCTTCGGTTGAGAGAGCCCCTTGGTGCCTCAGGCACAGGTACCTCAGTGGGATCTTGGGTCCCCACTGTGGGCAGAGTAGTCTGTTCCCTGACCCCTTGGCCCCTCTGGATGAGCTCACTGTCTCTAAGCTCTATCTGGCGCCCAAGGTCAAGGTCAGGGTGGCCTGAGTGGGGCAGACGATGCCAGTGGGTGGTCGTAGGGGTGAGGGAGTCAGGAGCATGGCGGGAACTCACACTGGGTCGTGCCCCCACGTAGCTGGCCGCCCTGGGCAGGCTGCATCCAGCCTCCTAGATTCTGGGACAGAGGTGCATGGAACTATAGGCCCCACCCAGCATGTCAAGGCAAAGGGCACGAACTTCAGGAGGTGGCAGCTGCATGCCCTGCCCCTGGCCCAGAGCTTGGCACAGAATCCACGTCTGTGGACTCAATGAGTCATTTGAGGGCGGAGCAGCCGGGCGGGGCCCTTGGCTTGTTACCTCCCATTTCTTCACCTAAAACCGAGGCTCACAACAGGGAGGCCAAGACGGGTCAGGAGCTAAATAAACGCGCAGACAAGGTGATTCTTTTGAAGGAAATAATTAGATGACAGGTTTTTTTCATGGGCGAGGGCCCTTTAGATAATAGCGTCAAAGAAGGTCTGCAGGGGACCCTGGAGTGAACGAGCAAGGGGGTGGCCCTGCCATGGGGTGGCCCCGAAGGGCACACTTTGCAGTTCCGTGCTCTGGACGGTGGTCACACTGGCTAGAGAGAGAGAGGTGAGGGCCCTCAACATCTTCCTTCATAGGCTCACTGAGGGCCACCCACACTCCCAAGTTCGCATATTCCATGCCTGCAGTTCGGGAACTAAGGAACTGGCCTGGGGTGACAAGGCAGGGAAGGGGCGGCCAAGGCCAGGGGAGCTAGATCGGGCCCGGCTTTCTCTGTAGGCAGTTGGCGGCTGACTTTGGATTTACTCTGGGCCCATGGGGCACCCTGGAGGGCTCTGAGAAGGGGCCGACGAATCAGCTGTGTGTTTTGCAAAGCGTGGAGGGGTGTTTGGGGGACAGAGTGGGAGCCCAGTGATCACTGATGAGGCCAAGTGCCCACATCTCAGAGGGGGGCCCAGTGCCCAGGGCAGGGGAGTGGGTGGGGATGGCCGGAGGGAGATCCCGCGAGACCTCACTCCAAGTGGATGATCTCAGGGTCAGAGCCCGGGGGACCCTGGACCCTTACGACTCCGTCTGCCCTGCTGACCTGTCTCTCTCCTCCCCACACAGGAAGGATGCCTCTGGCCCTCAGAGAGCACGGTGTCAGGCAGCGGAATCCCAGAGGTGAGCCCCAGCGCTGCCCCCAAGTCCCTGCCCCCAGCCCCCAAGTCTGCTTTAGTGGATCCAAAGGCCCCCTGGCCAGCGGGTCCCTTTCCCACCTCTGGGCTCACACCTCAGTGCTTCTCTGAAGAAATGTTTTTGGCGGCCGGGATCCCCTCTCCGGCCTCCAGGAAGCAACCTAGAGTCTGCCACGGGCAGGCCAAACGCAGCCCCTTTTGCTGCTCTGTGATGGTGTCACCAGGGCTCCCCTGGGGCTCAGGCGGAGACTGGGCTCCAGCTCAGCTCCTTCCCATCCCTGCTTCCCCATCTTCCTTTCCCCGGGGAGCAGGGTCACATGCAGCCATCCCTGCCCCGGCCCTGCTTCTGGGGACACTCACTGCGCTCTGCCCCCTCCAGCCCCAGGTCTACGCCCCACCGAGGCCCGCCGACCGCCTGACCGTGCCCCCCTTCACCCAGCGGGACCGCTTCCACCGCTTCCAGCCCACCTACCCCTACCTGCAGCACGAGATCGACCTGCCGCCCACCATCTCGCTGTCGGATGGGGAGGAACCGCCTCCCTACCAGGGCCCCTGCACCCTCCAGCTTCGGGACCCCGAGCAGCAGCTGGAGCTGAACCGCGAGTCTGTGCGCGCGCCCCCGAACAGAACCATCTTCGACAGCGACCTGCTTGGCAGCGCCGTGATGGGCGGGCCCTGTCCCCCCAGCAGTAACTCGGGCATCAGCGCCACGTGCTACGGCGGCGGCGGGCGCATGGAGGGGCCGCCGCCCACCTACAGCGAGGTCATTGGGCACTACCCCGGGTCCGCCACCTTCCAGCACCAGCAGAGCAGCGCGCCGCCCGCCTTGCTGGAGGGGACCCGGCTCCACCACGCACACATTGCGCCCCCGGAGAGCACGGCCGCCTGGAGCCAAGAGAAAGACAAACAGAAAGGACACCCTCTCTAGGGGCTCCCGGCCGGGCCAGGGCAGCGGTGGGGAAAGAGGCGAAACACTCCGCACTTCTAAAAAGAGAGAGGCAGGGGGGAGGACACACACAAACTGCGGGCATCACCATCCCCTCCCCCACCTCTGTATAAATATTTACATGTTCCGTCTGGTCTGAATGCACAAGCTAGGAAAGCTTGAAAAAAAAAAAAAAACCTCACACAAAAAAACCCTGTTTCTTTGTTGAGCTGTGTCTTGAAGGCAAAAGAGAAAAAAAATCCTACCCCAGTCTTTTCTGTTCCTGATTGAACTGCGTGAACACTTACCTTCTGTTTATGATGACTTAACTTTAAAGACATTTGCACAAAACCTTTGTTTAAAGATCTGCAATATTATATATATAAATATATATAAAGTAAGAGAAACTGTATGTGCGAGGGCAGGAGTATTTTTGTATTAGAAGAGTCCTATTAAAAAAAAAAAGAAGTTGTTTTCTGAACTAGAAGAGAAAATGGCCATTTTTACGTGCCAACTCAGAAAGTGTGCATTACCTTGTAAAGAAAACAATGACAAAGCAGGGGTTTAGAGTTATTTATATAAATGTTGAGCTTTTGCACTATTTTTTAATATAAATATGTTCGTGCTTGTTTGATGGAAACTTCTATCATGTCTGTCGAGACTCTTAGGAGAGGAACGTCGAGCTCCGACGTCAGGCAGAGGGTGGGCTCCTCGAAGAATTTGGACGGGGGGCATCCGGACGGGCCGCTTGCCTTTAGAAGCTTTGTCAAGTGACAGGTGATTTCACCTGGTGACACATTCCCTCCCGAAGGGGACATACTTGTTTCCCCTCTGGGTCAGAACAGCCTTTGGCTCGCACGAAATAGGAAAGTTATTCGAGGCACCAAGTACCAGGTGGTGGCTTTGGCTTTTCCCCCAAATGAAAATAAACTGTTACTGAAGGAATTTTAAGTTTTCCTCCTATTTTTTGTTTTAAAAACCACGATGCTCCCGTTGCCATGTTACCAACGGCACGCCGGAGGGGTGCTGGCGGCTTCTTTGTGCAGGATGCGTTGGCGGCTCCAGCACGTGTCGGTTAAGGTCCGTGCTGTCCACTGGCACGTAGGAAGGGCCCAAAGTATCGGGAAGGCGCCCCTGTCCCTGTCTTTCTCCATATCGACTCTCACCTGACAGCCAATGAACAGAAGACCAGAGATGAAAAAGAAACACGCCCAGGACATGCGGAAGGGTTGCAATGAGAAAGCCCACCCTTCTCTGTGTGAAGCTTAAGAAGCTGAATTCTCCCCTCCCCCATCTGCATCCCCTCCTCTCAAAGCAGTCCTGCTCGGTGTGTGTTTGTGTGCGTGTTCCTGAGTGTCTTTCTCAGACACACTCTGGTTTTCCAGGATTTCCCTGAGTAGATTTGGGTGTGGGGGGCCCCTCCGTTGGTGGTTTGCGGGCGAAGAAGCGTGCATGGGCACACGTGTGTTTGAGGAGAGGTGAATGACGGGCAGTGGAGTGGGGGTCCCTTGGTGTCGACCGGGAGCAGTGGCTGGAGCAGGAGATCCTTCCACCACACCCTGAGGACTTGCCAAGATTTTATGGGGTGGGTGGCACCCCAGCCGGAAGAGCAGCCCCCCAAACCCCCACCCCACAGAGGTGTCTTCATCTCCAGTAGAATACTAACCTAAGAGAAAGGTGTAAGAGGCAATAACTATTGTTTATAAGCAACTTTTGTATTACTTGAGGCACAGAAACCTTAGAACAGTTTTGAAGTTCTGACCATTTGAACTCTATTTATATACACATCGCAGGAACCTAGAGGCCACCAAATGAAGGGCCAGCTGAGTGCCCGCTGACCAGCCCAGGAGTGGGAAGTGTTTCTACCTTTAATGATAAAACCTGCCCCTCTGGGGGGCGGCGGGTCTTCAGCTTCCCCCCTGCCCCTCTGGGGGGCGGGGGGAAATCTGCTTCCCTCAGACAGGATTCTTTGGAAAGGTCGTGCAGAGAAATCTATCTAGTTAGTCCTGAAAGGTACGGGGACACGTTTATACATAACATTTCTTAAAGACGTATTTTTCCGTGGAGCGTCTCCCTAGTGCCTTACTGAGGAAGCGCTGGACTCTCCTCACCTGGCCAGGCAATCCTGGACGGCCCGGCTCGCCCGGGACTGGCCGTTCCGCTCCTGGTCCACAAAGGGCTGCTGCTGCTTTTCAAACGTCCTCTCACCCTCTCGTGTCCCATCCCTCTGGCCCCCACCCCCAGCCTCCCTTGTCAAGTACTATGCTTGATGCCCACCTGAGTCAAGAACCTAGAAGTGGACCTCATTGATGTGAACGGCGTCAGCCAAAGCCAGTCCCAAGCGTCCCCAAGGTCCTCTTGAACCAGACTCTGAACCGTGGTGCCGGGGGGTGGGGGGCAGCATCCACGTCTGCTGTGTTTTCAGAGTTAGAGGGAAGCCGGAGTGGGTGGCTGACCTCGGGGTGCTTGAGGGCAGAGCACGGCCCGGCCTTGCAGTCTGGGCCACCATGCTGCGGTGTCCCTGGGCCTCGTGCTAGCAGGACCATTGCAGAGGCAACTGGTGGGGTCGCCCGAGAAAGCCCGGTGCATCTCAAGAAAACCAGTGGTGTGCGTGTGGCAGTGACTGCTGGAGCTAAGCCCTTGGTTTCTCTGTGGCCCCCAGAGCTGGCGGGGGCAGCCTGGGGGAGGGGGAAGGTACAATCTTTAGGTGTTGGCTGTCACGCCATTATCTTTGAGGAGCCTTGAAACACACTTCAGGAGGCCCCCTGTTTTCAGTAAAGAGCTGGGGAGTCTCCAGAAATGGCTGGTTGGAGGGGGACCAGGTTGGGCTCAGAAAAGGTGGCGGAGCCCAGCTTTCTTAACGCTCATTGTTTTCCTGCCTGTCAATCATCACATCCCCTCCCACCCCCGTCCCCACCGTGCAAAGCTCGGGTCCACACAGATGGACTTAGCGAAGTCCACTAATTGCCACCCATGTTCCCCTGAACCCCCTGTTTGCGCAAAGAGCAGAACATAACTTCTCTCCCCCGACCAGTGAGCCCCAGGGCCAAGTGAGCACCGAATCTGCTCCCGGTCCTTGTCTGTCTCCTCTGTGAACTGTACGTTTCAGAGATTTTTCTACGCGCAACATAAAGCTTCCAGAGCCTCGAAAACATCCCAGCCATAAGGGAAGAACTGTATTTCCCCGGAATCCGCACTTCAGACGTTGCTGTAGTACAGAGCAGAGAGAGAAGGCGGCTGCGCCCTGGTTTGCCTGCCTGACTCTGTGGCGGCTGTGCCCACGGCTACGGCTTGGCGTGGCCTTTGCCGCCCCGTTTCCCGAGTTCTGTTAAACTGTAAGCCCTCTGGCACACGGAGGGCAGGGGGCACGTCGCTGCTGCGGGAGACTCTGGGTCCAAATGCCAGTCCCCAGGCCTGGTGAAATCGCTTGTGTATCAATCATCACTCATGGCAATGACGACATTCTGAAAGCTGCAATACTTAAACAATAAATTTTGCAATTCTTTGGAAGGAGGCTGTTTTATTTCTTTGGTCCTTCTGCCCCAACCACCCTCAGCAACAACCCCAGCATCGCCGGGGGCCACGGTGCGGCTCTTACCGCCCCTCCTCCTGTCCGTTTCAGCACAGGGAGCCCAGTGCCTGCACTTGTGCAGGAACAGGACTTGAGTTAAAAGGATTCCCAAAACGCCGCCTACTTTTCCTCCTCCTGGGAGAATCCTTCATCACGAGGACTTGACCAGAGAGCCTGATAAGGTCTGTGAGATGAGACTTTCTTAAGCAAGGTTTTTCCAGAAGTGAAATCTGAGATGTGCCCCTGTCTGAAGGGACGGATTATGGCTGTCTCCCGGGGGACACAGTTGGGGGAGTCGGGAAGAGGACAAGCAGAAGTGGACCACAGAACCCCCCAAAAAGGGGCCCCAGGGGGTCTGAGTGAGGCACCCACAATGCACACAACAGAAACTCCTATTGGTTTCTCTTTGATGTCTTCATTTACTGTCCGAAATGGGTTTTGGTTTTTTTAAATCAGCCTAAACAGAGTGTGTAAACTGCAGGTATGGCCAGTTCGGCCTCGGTCTCACAGATGCTGGACCGCAGGCGTGTGAGCCCCTCCTGGTGCGTGGGGGCAGAACTCGGCACGCATCGGCCCTTCTTGCCTTCTCTCTGGTACACGAAACGCTCAGCAGTTAGGAAGACTCGGAAGAAAGCCAGGAGAGCTCATCAGCGTTTGGTGCCGAGAGCAGGGCGAGCAGCGCAGTGCTGCACCCAGGGCCCAAGTGCCTCTCACTGGCGGTCACTCCCCTGCTGGCCCTCAGTCGCCTCAGCTGCAGAATGGGTTTATGGAGGTGCCTGTGAGCTGGTTGCACCTGGCGTCCGATAAGGTAATGCCTGTAAATCCTCAAAAGGGTGCCTGCCGTATGCAAATGCAAGCCACTTTTATCAGTAACGGGCTCCCAGAAAAGGTTTTCCTGTCATCCAATGCACCTGGGGGCTTCTGGGTCAGCTCGCAGGTCCTGGGCGGAGCACGCACACGGCCCCACCTCTCCCAGGTGGCTAGGAGGGGTCAGAGCCTTCTCCAAACGGAGACCCTCCCCCACTTTGAGTACAGCCCAAGCAGTAGAGCCGTATCCGTCCGGAATAGTGACTGCAATCACCACAGCTGGCGTGTGTCGAGCATCTGTTGGGTTACAAATTTGATGTGAAGTGACTGACAGGAGGTGGCTACCCGCTCGGGCGCGGAGGAGACCACTGGAGGTACCAGTGTGACAGACCCAACTCCAGACCCCAGAGAACTCGCCCGGGACCACAGCACAACATAGTGAGGGCAAGAGTGGGCTGTTAGGAGCGAGTCCTGCATGGAGCCAACCCCATAAACAGGCACCCTACCACCCACGCTTGGCCAGGGCCAGGTACACGGCTCAGCTGCGACTCTCGGGGTTCAACTGTCTGCAGGTTTTGCAGGGGGGAGGTGGACAGGGGTTCGTCCTGTGGCCTCATGTGGCCAGTGGGTGGAGAAAAGTCGGTGATCTTTCGCCTGCTCACCTATTTCTTCTTGTGAGGGTAGGTGTGACAGCTCCCCGGCTGTTCACGAGACAGGACGGAAAACAGCAATTCCCCGAGTCTCTCTCTCCTCTTTAATGTTTAAAAGTGAAGGTAAAAGTCACATGCCATAAGACCTCCCTTTTTAAGTGTACAATTCAGTGGGTCCTAATACGGGCACACAGATGAGCAGCCATCCCACTGTCTGGCTCCAGAACATGGGCGTCATCCCCGGTGAAACTTCACCCCCCCCCCCCACATTCGGTCACCGGCTCCCTGGCCCCTTGCCCCAGCCCCTGGCAAGCACCCACCGATCTGCTTTCTGTTTCCATGGATTTGCCCCTTTAAACATTTTGTATAAGGAACCACACAATATGCGCTCTTTTTCTTATTGGATGTGCCTGATTTCTTTTACGGAGCGTAATGTTTTCCAAGGCGCGTGCACGTTGCAGCAGGCATGGATACATTCTTTCCCGTTGAGTCACGTTCCGTCGTTCGGATCCATTCTGGCCCTTGTTTATCCATCCAGTTGATGGACGTCCTGGGGTTTCCACGTCTGGGCTGCTCCGACGGGCAGTGCGCTCATTTCTCCTGGATGTAGACCTCAGACAGGAACGCGTCCCACTGGCTGGGCCACGTGGTTGTCTTATGTTCAACTTTCTGAGGAACGGCCCAACTGCATTCCTCAGCAGCAGCACCCCTTTACATTCTACCAACGTGGCCTGAGGGGCCCAATTTCCCCTCACCCCCATCCGGTATTTCCCTTTTAAAAACTGATTACTCCTGACGCGGTGGGGTGGGGGAGGGGTCTCCTCGTGGCTTTGATTTGCATCTCCCTAATGATGTTTATGGAGCGTTTGCACTTCTTCGGGGAAATGTCTATTCAAACCTTTCACCCATTTTTTTTT